TGCGGGTGCTGCTCAACCTGCTGGTGGCCGCGCTCCTGGGGGCAGCGTTCTATGGCGTCTACTGGGCCACAGAGTCCACGGTGGAGCTACAGGTGCGGAGGGTCTTTGAAAAGGAAGTCGGGGGGTCTTGGAAGCTACAATTCCAACGGTGGAGGGAGGGGACGGAAGTCTGGGACGCCAGAGATCTTAGGAAGTAAGGGGGCCGTGCGCGGTGGCTCACGCCTGCAATTCCAGCACTGTGGGAGGCCGAGGCGGGCGGATCACGAAGTCAGGAGTTCGAGACCAGCCTGGCCAACATAGTGAAACCCCATCTCTACTAAACATACAAAAAATTAGCTGGGCGTGGTGGCGCGTGCCTGTAATCTCAGCTACTCAGGAGGCTGATGCAGGAGAATTGCTTGAACCTGGGAAGCGGAGGTTGCAAGTGAGCCGAGATCACGCCATTGCACTCCAGCCTGAGTGACAGAGTCAGACTGTCTCAAAAAAAAAAAAAAAAAAAAAAAAAAAAAAAAAAAAAGGAAGTATGGGGTGGGGTATGTTTGGACCCTGGACTTTGGGGTTTTAAAGGAGGAAGAGACTGGGGGTGAGGACCTTAAGCTTGTCTCCTCCAGGACCCCAAGCCTCTTCTCATGGTCCACTCCCCCTCCCAGGAGACGCCCCTTGTCCAGGAGACGCCACTGCTGAAGCTTGGGGTGAATTACCTTCCGTCCATCTTCATCGCCGGGGTTAACTTTGTGCTGCCGCCGGTGTTCACGCTGATTGCTCCACTGGAGGGCTACACCCGGAGTCGCCAGATCATTTTAATCTTGCTGAGGTTCCAGCCTCATGGGGAGGGCTGGGAATGATGAGGGGTGGGGGCGGTCAGAGGGACGTTGGCCTTGACAGGTAAGACACGGAAATCCTGCGGATATCGGATCCAGGGATTCAAATCCTGACTCTTGGCTGGGCTCGGTGGCTCACGCCTGTAATCCCAGCACTCTGGGAGGCCGAGATGGGTGGATCATTTGAGGTCAGGAGTTCGAGACCAGCCTGGCCAACGAGATGAGAGCCCATCTCTACTAAAAATACAAAAATTAGCCCGGCGATAGTGGCCCAGGCCAGTAGTCCCAGCTACTTGGGAGGCTACTTGGAGGAGCCTCCTACTTCTCAAGGCAGAAGTGCTTGAGCCTGGGAGGTGGAGAGAGCCGAGATCACGCCACTGCACTACAGTCTGGGCGATAGGGTGAGACCCTGTCTCAAAAAAAAAGAAAAAAGAAAAATCCTGATTGTGTCACAGCCTCAGCTTCTTCATCTGTGAGCTGGGTTGAATCCGAGCGCGTTCCACTCAGAAGGGAACCACCACGTGGTGGGGACGGGTCAGGGCCCATTCTCCTCTGCCTTCCCCTCACCAGGACCCTGTTTCTTCGCCTGGCCTCCCTGGTGGTCCTGCTCTTCTCTCTCTGGAATCAGATCACTTGTGGGGGCGACGCCGAGGCTGAGGACTGCAAAACCTGTGGCTACAATTACAAAGAACTTCCGGTGAGAACGGCGTGGGGTCTGCCTGGGACGCTAGGGTCCCCAGAGGAAAGAAGGAGCTGCGTGGGACCAGACTTTTGGTTTGGGCGGAGGGGGGAGCTTGGGGTGCTGGAACACTCTCCCAAGGATAATGATGTTTGAAAAACGAGGACCCCCAGAGAAAGTATTGATAGGGTCTCACAGGTTTGGGATGTGGAGACTCCGACGCGTGGGGCCTCCAGGTGCCCGGGTCCTGAGGTCTTTCTGACCTATTTGTCTTCAGTGCTGGGAGACTCTCGTGGGCCAGGAAATGTACAAGCTCCTACTCTTTGATCTGCTGACTGGCTTGGCAGTCTCGCTGCTCATCCAGTTTCCTCGAAAGTGAGAGCCCCGCCCCTTCAGGACCAGGCCCTGCCCACATCGTGCTGTCCTTCTCACCGTGCTATTTCACCTTTTTGCTATTCCCGCCTCTGCTGGCTCCCTTTGCTTGCCCTGGGTCCGCAGGTCGCCTCGCTTCCCATCCTGGTTTTAGTGCCTTCCCTCTGGCCCCGCCCCTACCGCCGCACGCCGGGTCCTGTCTAGTCTAGTCCTCAGGACCCGCCCTCTGGACCCACCTCCTCCACCTCCACGTGGAGTCTTGAAAGTCCCGGCCCACGTCAGTTACGCGTGCTTCCTGTTGGTGGGTGGGGCGGTAAAGGCGGGGGAGCTCCAGGCCACGGCGTCTCTGACTTAGGCTCGCCCCGCCCCGCCCCATCCTTCAGGCTCCTCTGCGGTCTCTGTCCTGGGGCGCTTGGTCGTCTGGCGGGGACCCAGGAGTTCCAGGTGCCCGACGAGGTGCTGGGGCTTATCTACGCGCAGACTGTGGTCTGGGTGGGGAGTTTTTTCTGCCCTTTACTGCCTCTGCTTAACACGGTCAAGTTCCTGCTGCTTTTCTACCTGAAGAAGGTAAGGGATGGGGGGACCCTTGGGTCTGAGGCAGGAGGTATTGGGGCCTGGACTCCTGGGTCCCGGGCAAGGAAGATTTTGGGGGCCTGGACTGCTAGGTCGTAAGAGAAGGGGGCTGTAGGACAGACTCCTCGATGTGAGAGAAAGAAGGGTCTGAGGCATTCTGACTTATATGTCTGAGGATCCGGGAATTCCGAATTTGGGGTCCTAGATGAGGAAAGGGCTCAGACTCCTGGTTTGGGAAAAAGGAGAGGCAGGTAGGCCGGGCGAGGTTAACTCATGCCTGCAATCCCTGCACTTTGGGAGGCTGAGGCGGGTGCATCACCTGAGGTCAGGAGTTCAAGACCAGTCTGGCCAAAATGGTGAAACCCTGTCCCTGCTAAAACTAAAAAAACAAACAAAAACCAGGTGTAGTGGCCTGTGCCTGTAATCCCAGCTACTCTGGAGGCTGAGGCAGGGAACTGCTTGAAACTGGAAGGTGGAGGTTGCGGTGACCCGAGATCATACCACTGCACTCCAGCCTGGGCGACAGAGCGAGACTCTGTCTCAAAAACAAAAACACAAAATTAGCCAGGTGAGGTGGTGCATGTTTGCAGTCCCAGCCACTTGGGAGGCTGAGGCAGGAGAATAGCTTGAACCCGGGAGGCGGAGGTTGCAGTGAGCTGAGATCACGGCATTACATTCCAGCCTGGGCAACAAGAGCAAAACTGCCTTAAAAAAAAAAAAAAAAAAAAAAAAGCCAGGCGCGGTGGCGCAAGCCTGTAATCCCAGCACTTTGGGAGGCCGAGGTGGGTGGATCACGAGGTCAAGAGATCGAGACCATCCTGGTCAACAAAGTGAAACCCCGTCTCTACTAAAAATACAAAAAATTAGCTGGGCACGGTGGCGCGTGCCTGTAATCCCAGCTACTCGGGAGGCTGAGGCAGGAGAATTGCCTGAACCCAGGAGGCGGAGGTTGCGGTGAGCCGAGATCACGCCATTGCAATCCAGCCTGGGTAACGAGAGCGAAACTCCGTCTCAAAAAAAAAAAGCAGGAGGCACAGACCGTTGTTTCAGATCCCCTTCCTCTGTGCCTTCCCCTGCCAGCTCACCCTCTTCTTCACCTGCTCTCCGGCCGCCCGCACGTTCCGGGCCTCCACAGCGAATTTCTTTTTCCCCCTGGTCCTCCTCCTGGGTCTGGCCATCTCCAGCGTTCCTCTGCTTTACAGCATCTTCCTGTAAGTGCGAGAGGCTCCTGCCTCTTTCCCTCCCTCTCCCTGCGTTCAGCGTTCAGACTCCTGGCTCTACGTGAGCCCAGCCTATCTTGACTTCAGGATCCCACCTTCTAAGCTATGTGGTCCATTCCGGGGGCAGTCGTCCATCTGGGCCCAGATCCCTGAGTCTATTTCCAGCCTCCCTGAGACCGCCCAGAACTTCCTCTTCTTCCTGGGGACTCAGGCTTTTGCTGTACCCCTTCTGCTGATTTCCAGGTGAGTTTGCCCAGACTTCTGGGTCTGGGTTTGAATGCACGTGATCTGGGGGCCACCACCTGCGTCGGAGAGAGGAGAGGCTCGGGGTGGGAGGAGGCCTAGGGTCCAAAGGAGGAGGAGGAGGAGGGTGGGACTTAGGACTCCTGGGCTGGGAGACTGAAGTCCTTGTAGATGACATCCTGGCTTTGAAGGAGCCAGGCGTTTGTATAGAATGGAGGAGCGTGTCAGGAGTGGCTTCTGTTCGTGTCTCCTCCAGCATCCTGATGGCGTACACTGTGGCTCTGGCTAACTCCTACGGTCGTCTCATCTCTCAGCTCAAACGTCAGAGAGAGACGGTGAGCCAGGCGGGTCCCTGAGAGGGACCCCGTGGGGGACATTGAAAGGCATTGGGGGAGAGGGCTGTCTGACCTCCACCTCTCTTTGCCTCAGGAGGCGCAGAACAAAGTCTTCCTCGCACGGCGCGCTGTGGCGCTGAGCTCCACCCACCCGGCTTTTTGACCCCTGCAGCCCATGTCCCACCTTCAGACTCCAGGCCAATTGTAAGCCTAGGTCACATCTGTAAAACTAGGAGAACTAGAGAAGACCCCACGCTCTTCCAGCTCTAGGATCTGGAGATTTCCAGAGACCCTCGCCGCCACGTCCCAGACTCTCGGGTGATCTTTCTTCTATGAATAAACACAGCCGAGGTGACTGAGCGCGCTTTGAAATCTGCGTCCTGAAGGTGGGGGCAGGGCTACATCAGGGCGGGAGCCAATCAAATGCATGGGAATGTGTGGCCGTTCGAAGTGCTCTTCCGCAAGGAGACTTGATGGTTGTGTTGGCCAATCGGCGGCCGAATCTGGCATTAGGGGAGGGCCAACTTGCGATTGGCTCGGATATGTGAAAAGCGGTTGCTAGGGGATACCACGCGCCAAAAGCCTGGCATTCGCTGAGATAAAGGGCGTCTTAGCCAATCACCTGTCGTTACAGGCCAGGGGGCCGTACCAATGAGTTAAGAACCAATCTGTGGTCGAAGTAGGGACAAGAGGGAGGGGGCATTCTCTCGCCAATCGGAAGTGCAGAGAGGCGGGCGTGCCAGTCCGTGGACTGCTACGACGCCATGAATATCTTGCCCAAGAAGAGCTGGCACGTCCGGAACAAGGACAATGTTGCCCGCGTGCGGCGTGACGAGGCCCAGGCCCGGGAGGAAGAGAAGGAGCGTGAGCGGAGGGTGCTGCTGGCTCAGCAGGAGGTAAGCCTGGGAACCGGCCGGGCGGAACTCCGGGGCCCAGCGCGCAGGCGCCATGGTAGGGGGCCGGAAGTGGACGCGTTGCGCAGGCGCCGTGTGCCCCGTATGTAATTCGTGACCCGGCGCGGACCTCTTTTCCGAAACGTTGCTCGGCAAACGTTGTGCCCACTTGCATGAAATCTCCCTTGATCGCCCCCTCGTCTTGTTTCCCCCCACTGATGTATTTCACATGGCTAGAGCAGTGTCTAGCACAAAAGAGAAGCATAAATGTTTACCGAATTCAGGATTCCTTGGACAGTTTGAGGAAATTCGGATCACTTTCTAGTTGGCTTGCACAGTCTATTTATTGAGCAGTTACTGTATGCTAACTGCATGCAGAACGCCTGACTTCCAGAATCCCCCTTAAGCACCGTTCTTTCTTAAAGAGGCATTGTCATCTCCGTGGCACGAAGTGAGATGGCGTCAAGGGAGGGGAAGTCTCCACCCCCTTGGGCGAGCCCTTTCCCTGCACCACCCCCAGACACACACACAAACATGGGCTTTATGTATAGCTCCTTAAATCTGTTTGGTGTACACCTAACTTTCAGTTCCTTAGCCAGTCTGATCCTCCACACTGGGAGGGAGGTAGTCTGGGTTTTTAGAATCTCAGTAGGCTGCTGAGAGCTTTGTCCTTAAGGTGGGAGACAGGGCTTCATCAATGGACTTGGGGTAATGACTTGGAGCCATGCCTGGAATCCAGATCATCTGACCTAATGCAGTTTGTTCTACCTTTATAGCTGTTTTAATTGTCTCACTTGAGGTTAGGAACCCCTTTGGTTTAGGCCAGGGACCTCCTCCCAGCCATCCTTGATGTGTGGTTTACTATTTGAAAGGCAGTTTACAAAACCCAGGTGTTGCCTTATCTGCCTACCCTCACCCCTGCTAGGACAGGTGCCCCCTTTCTTACAAACCCAGCACCCTGGACTGCTGTTTCCTGTGGTGCGCACCAGACTTAAAAGTTCTTGAATTACCTTTAGGTTTTTAATGTCTTGCCTGTAACTTTCTCCCCAGGCCCGTACAGAATTCCTACGGAAGAAAGCCAGACATCAGAACTCACTGCCTGAGCTTGAGGCAGCAGAGGTGGGAGCCCCAAGTTCTGGCCCTGTGGACCTGTTTCGAGAGCTGCTGGAGGAGGGGAAAGGCCTGATCAGAGGCAATAAAGAGCACGAGGAAGAAAAGCGACAGGAGAAAGTAAGCTGGCCTTATCTACTTCATCAGAGACATGAATGGAGCTGGGGGGAGGGACACTTTAGCCATTGGTTGTGACTAAGGCTAAACAAGAGTGAACACTCAGAATTTAGAACCATACCAAAGCACACTCAGAAGTGGTGGCTGTTGCCATTTGGGTGCCCTCAGGGCTTGGAGGTAGATGCTCGAGATCCCCAGCTGCTAGGTGAACTGCTCAGGTCTCCAAACTGGAGGGGTCTCAAACCTGATGAGCTTTTAAAAATCTAAATCAGCTTGGTGGTGGCTCATGCCTGTAATCCCAGCATTTTGGGAAACTGAGGTGGGCAGATCACCCGCGGTCAGGAGTTCAAGACCAGCCTGGTCAACATGGTATCTCTACTAAAAATACAAAAAAAGTTAGCTGAGCATGGTGGCATGCACCTTTAGTCCCAGAGGCTGAGGCAGGAGAATCGCTTGAACCCAGGAGGTGGAAGCTGCAGTGAGCTGAGATCGTGCCACAGCACTCTAGCCTGGGTGGCAAGAGTGAGACTCAATCTCAGGAAAAAAAAAAAAAAAAGTGAATCAATCACTTCTTGCCTTTTGGCTAAGATCGAGTGTAAAAGCTCCTGTTCCTCACCTGCTGTCTCTGGACTTGCTGACCCCACCCACGGGTCCTCTTGCTTTGCTTGCTCCCTGCAAAGATGCCTGCCTCTGAACATTCAGGCAGCTCCACCCCATCCCCTCCTTCCTCTGCTTTCTGTGACTGTCCCTGCTATCGTCACCCCAGGGCAGGAGCTTGGCCTCTGCTGGTCTCTTCCCTCCCCAGCACCTGGCACAGCTGCTTCACCATAGGCCTTAGATACCTGTGTCAGGGAGATAAACCTGACACCCTGAAAGATTATATCCCATCTCTTTTATTTCCTGACCCCTCAGGAGAGACAAGAGAAAGCTCTGGGCATCCTGACATACCTGGGCCAGAGTGCAGCCGAGGCCCAGACTCAACCCCCTTGGTACCAGCTCCCACCAGAGCGAGGGGGTCCCCCGCCTGGCCCAGCCCCAGATGAGAAAATAAAGAGCCGCCTGGACCCTCTGCGGGAGATGCAGAAGCATCTGGGGAAGAAGAGACGGCACAGCAGTGATGAAGGCAATCACAGCAGAAAGGAAAAGGATGGCTCTGAGACACAGCGACCCAAGGGGTGAGGAGGAGGACCCTGCCCTGGCAGAGCAGGACCCAGATCTTCAGGGCTTGGCAGCAGCCTGGCACAGGCACAGCAGGAGCTCTGGGTGGAACAGCCAGGGACCCCGTGAAGGGATGGCTGGGTGGAAAAGTGGTTCTCACCATGTGGTCCAGGGAGCCCTAGGGGTCCTGACTCCCTTTCCGGGGGGTGCCGTGGTGTCAAGCCTATTTTCCTAACACTGTTTGCCTTTCACACTCATTCTCAGGCAGGTAGTGCAGCTTTCCAGAGGCTACATGATGAGAAGACACCCTCACTGTGATGACTAATGGCAGATACTTATGTCCAAGTTTTCTTAGTTTTCACTTCTGATTTGCATGATATTAACAGAACCCATTGAAACAAACGCTCTTGGGACCCCCTTTTTAAGAGTATAAAGGGGTCCTGGGACCAAAGAGTTTGAGAACCACTGGGTTAGAGAGTAAGAGCAGGCTTCTATCCCCAGGATACTGTCCCGCCGCCTGTAATCTTTTTTTTCTCCAGAACGGGAAGCTGAGGCCCAGGGAGAGCCAGGGGCTGCCCCATGTGCTTTCTTGGTCTGGAGGACCATCAGATTTTAAAGACTGGGGAGGACTGAAGCCCACAGGAGGGACGCCCATGGCGTCCCAGCCCCCGGCGGCTTCTTCCAGCAGGCCCTAAGAGCCAAGACTGGGTTCCTGGTGGCAGCTCCCTCTGGGAGAGGTTGGGGGAACGGCCTCCTAGGGGCTACCAGCTTTCTGACCTCAGTCCTCTCCCTGCAGGCCTCCATCCCTGGACCAGCTTCGAGCTGAACGTCTTCGGAGGGAGGCGGCTGAGAGGGCTCGAGCGGAGGCCTTGCTGGCCCAGGTCCAAGGCCGGGCACCAAAGGAGGGTAAGACAGAAGAGGAAGAGACAGATGACCGCCGGCGGCGGTACAACTCCCAGTTCAACCCCCAGCTGGCCCGGCGCCCCCGCCAGCAGGACCCTCACCTTGCTCACTGACTCCTGAGGGGGGTACAGGAGAGGCCGCTGCTGCCAGCCGTCATATAAAACTATTTATTCATAAATATTTTCCAAAATGAAAATAGGTTTACCAAAAAATGTCCCTCACTGGGGAGGGGAGGAGGGGGCAGCCCTCGCCCCCGGGCCCCCAGGGTGGGGCTGAAAGGAAACCTCCCAGCCCCCTCCCTGCTTCCTGGGAGAGGGGGATGCCCCGTGGCCTGGGGCCTCCCTGCAGTCTTCCAGGGCAGGGCCCTCACCTGGGCAGGGGGATCAGCATGCGGGGGAGGGGGTAGGTAGAAGGAGGGGCCGGTGTCACTGGAGGTCCCGGTCCTCCAGGTAGCGGTACTCAAAGGTGAAGCCTTCCTTCTTCCGCTGGCCCCACTTCTCGTAGTCAAAGTAGATGTAGGTGCCCTGGCCAGGGGAGAAGGCGGTCAGTGAGTGGACGAAGAGGTGGTCTGGGATCTGGGCCGGACCAACAGACAAAAGGGGACAGTTCTTAGGGCTGCGGATGTGCCAGGCACTGGGCCAGCTGCCCTGCACACGCGCACTCATTCCACCCTCACAAGGTTCTTCTTGGGTTGGAAACATTATCATGCCCGCTTCATCAAGGAGGAAACGGAGGGAACTGCAGAGAGGTTCCACCGGGGCCCAGCTCCAGGTGTGAGTACAAGGCCTTCGTATTCTCGAGGGCTGTGGCTTTTGAGCACCTCTCTCGTGCAAGTACAGGATGCACGGCCTAGCATTTAATCTTCACAAAGACCTCGAGGCAGTGAGTACTGTCACCCTTGTTCTAAAGAATGGGAGAGGCTCAGCCTAAATCTAAGCATTCTGCAGGGACATTTTATGGCGGTGGTAGAGGTGTGGGAATTTGAGTGACTGGATGCCCTGAAATGTGCTAACTTGGAGGATGGTTCTGGGCCAAACCAAGAAGGATAGAAGGTTAGTAGTTAATGTCTGAGGGCACGATGGGAGAGGAGCTAGCTTCTCAATGAATGAACGTCTGAAATGCTTTCAAGAATGGCAGCCTGGGAGAACTAGGAGAGAGGACTGAGTTCTCTGAGGACAGGACCTTGCAATATTCATCCCCATGAAGGGGCTCGGCATCAGGGAAGTCTTTGGTGGGGAAAAAAAAATCACTGTAGAACACACCAACTGTAAGTAATTTGAAAAAAAAATTCCTGACACTTACTATGCAGCAGTCACCATCAAGTACTTACCTGTTACTAACTCATTAAATCTTCCTAACAGCTGCATTAGGAGGGCCTCTTCCCCCCATTTTTACAGATAAGGAAATTAAGACACAGGTCCAAGTGACTTGCCCGAAGTCACCCAGCTAGAGCTGGGCTCAAACCCTGGTAGGCTGGCTCCAGAGTATTTGCAAGAAGCATAAATTGCCAATTGTTAGAACTTGGAAAGACCATTAAAAAAAAAAAAGCTTCCCCACTGAGTGTGTGCTGGGTGTTGGGACCTGGCGGTGGAGAGGGCCATCAAGGTCCCTGGGCAGCAGAACCCACAGCCTGTGCAGGGAGACTCACTGGGAAAATCCCACACCCAAGTGAGTACCCAGCACGGCACAGGGGAGACACTGGGCCAGGTGGCTCTGGGAAGGTCTCTGAGGAAGGGCCATTTGGGCTAAGGCCTACAGGAGGCCTAGGAGCCAGCCAACTGGAGGAGGAAAGGCAGTTCTCCTGGCTGAGCAAACAGCCTGAGTGAAGCAGAGCTTGGTCAGGCCGAGGGACTGCACCACCTGAAAGGTGGAAGCAAGGGAGCAGAGGCTGGCAAGGACTGCCTGGAGCCTGGGGACTCCACCCCAACCCTAGCAGTAGGAAGAGAGGAGGCGGGGCCCTCACCTGCTCAAACTCATCAGTGATGGTCTTGGGCTCCTCGTGCCTCTGGAACCACATCATGTACTTGGTGTGGAATCGCCACGACTGCTTCTTTAGGGCCTTGGCTGCCAGGTACTGTGCCTTAGTGCCCTGGGGGAGTAAAGGTGGAGAAGGGGATCAGGGGCCCTCCAAACTTGGTGGGGAGCCAGGGGGACAGGGCAGGACATCAGGGCTGAACCCCGGCCCCCGCCACAGACCACAGTTCAGCTGGACAATCTGGGGCACAGAACATACCAATGCTGGTCAGGAGAAGGAAAATGAGACAGGAGGTGAAAATTAATTTCAGAGAAGCTTTGAGAAGGAAGAAAAACTGCTGTGTGATGAGAGCTGGGAGAGGAGGCGATTCAGAAGATTTCCCAAGGGGGGGAGGGTGGGCTGGACAGTTCCCCAGTGGTCTCCAGGGAGGCCTGAGAATGTGCTGATGAGCAGAGTGGGGTCAGCCTAGACTGGGGCTGCTGGATCAGGGCTGGGGAGGGGCTGCAGGTGAGCCAGTGAGCCACTGGAAGCGGGGCTGGGGCATGCTGCGGCCGACTGGCCTCAACCCAGGCAGTTCTAACACCTCCGGGCTGGAAGCGGGAACAGGCACAGGCTGATTTAGATAGGGGGCTGGGGGGCCCGGGACTGGGAATAGGGAGGGGGTGCGGTCCCAGTGGCCGCAGTGGGGCACCCACCTCACCCCTCCAGCCCGAGGGGGGACGGCGGCGGTGGCGGCGAAGCCGGGGGGCCCGAGGCTGCCCCGGGGGCCCTGCTGTACCTCCAGATAGTAGAAGATGAAGAAGAGTGTCTCAGTCGACAGGCGCTGGTAGAACTCCACAGTGTCCGAGTGTGGGGGTGGCATCTGGTGGTGGTAGGGGGGTGTCGGACAGGGGTTCCGGGGAAGGTACTGCCTGTGGGAGCATCAGGAAGGTCAGTGTGAGCTGCTTGCCAGTCCTGCCCTCATCAAGAGTGCTCAGAAACGCATCCCCGGCGGGGGCGGTTGGTACAGAAAGACCTGGGGCAGTGCTGACCTTCAGTGGGGAGCCCAGGTCAGGGGCCTGGCCCCCTTGACCCACAGCCTCACAGGTCTGTCCCCTGCCTCCTCACTAAGACTCGAGTCCCAGCCCAACCCCCTTTCCTGCGGCCCCTCACCGGATACGCTCAGAATCAGAGGGATGAGGCATGTGGTGCCAGGCGGCCTCTTCCATGGCCTGCTGGTAGAGCTGCTCCTTGGTGAGGGGCACAGGGCCCAGTGGACAGACACCCAGCGACAGCGGTATGTTGACCTCTGACAGCTGCAAGGGTGGCTGGGCTGAGGCCGGAGGTGCTGATGTGCTACTGAGGATGATGTCTGTGGGGAAAGGGGGGGTGGCCCCCTCAGTGGTGAGGATGGGTCGGGCCAGTCCCTCCTCTTTGGCCCACTGTTTCCCCACCATCCCGGGACCCTCACCTCGCTCAGTCAGGTGCAGCGTTGGCACGGGATCCTCAATGCCAGAGCTGATGGCTGCCCGTTCTGCCATGGACTTCAAGGAGCTCAAAGTTTGCTCTGGGGCCTGGGGATGAAACCAAAGGCCTGGCCTGAGCACTTGGGCTGCAGGAGCAAGCTTATCCTGACGCAGGCCCCACATGCTGTCGCCTGCTGTTGGGAGACTATGGAGGGCCAGTGACCCACTACTCGTGATCTACCCATGAAAGGTAAAAGCATCAACCTGAGGGGGAAACCACTGACGCACTCATCAGCAGATGAACGTCTAATAAGTGGGACTCTACACCATGGAATACGGCGCAGAGATTTTCAAAACACAAGTTTGTGGCCTACTACAGAGGAAAATGCCAACCTGCAGAACACCTACAGTGCGCTACTGTTTGTCAGAGGATGAGCCAACAGTACACTCTGGGAGAGCCCCCGCCTGTCTTGAAGGAGGCAGGAGGACTACATGCTCGGCCGTCTGCCTCTGACTGGCATGGAGTGACGGGTGGGATGGGCCCAGCCCTGCTAGGATTCAGTCTCCTTGCTGAGCCTCCAGCCCTACCACCACAGCCTCCTTTCCTATTACAAAGGCTACAGCAGGCTTCTGTTCTCCAAAGTCAGACCTGGTTCCTCCATCTCCTCTGGCCATGGGCAGCTGTCCCTAACCCAGCCCTGTGCTGTCCTCTCCACAATGCTTTAGTCACCAAGGCTTATCCGTCCTGCTTCTAACCTGTCATGCCACCATGCCCCACACAGCCCGGGCCTGTCCTCTCCTGCCCAGACCACCCACCCTCTATCCTGTCCTCAGCCCCAGGGGACCTTTCTAATGACGTCAGGTTGTTCCTTCTCTACTTCAAACCTTGCCATAGTTCCTGACCGCCCACCCCAGTGATTCATTTTTGCTGGTGGTGGTGTCAAAAGGTATGAACCCCTCTTGAAAATCTCAAAGCTTGTTTCCCTTTCTCCACAAAAATGCACACAGTATGTTTCCTGTCCACAGTACTTCTAAATTTGGGCTGGGTGCGGTGGCTCAAGCCTGTAATCCCAGTACTTTGGGAGGCTGAGGTGGGTGGATCACCTGAGGTCAGGAGTTCAAGCCCTGCCTGACCCACATGGTGAAACCCCATCTCTTCTAAAAATACAAAAATCAACCAGGTGGGTGGTTGGCACCTGTAATCCCAGCTACTTGGGAGGCTGAGGCAGGAGACTCACTTGAACCCGGGAGGTGGAGACTGCAGTGAACTGAGACTGAACGACTGCACTCCAGCCTGGGTAACAGCAAGACTGTCTCAAAAAAAAAAAAAAAAAAAAAAAAAAATCGAATGCCTCTGTTGGGCCAGAAACTGTTCCAAGAGCTCTGCCATAGTAAGTTGCTCTTCCAAATAACCCTGTATGGTAGTTATCATCATATCACTGCCATTTCCCAGATGAAGGCAAGCACAGAAAAGACAATGCCAAAACTTGGACCTGGCAGGCTGGGGCACACTACCTCCCTGTGGAAGCTATGCTGCAGATCCTGGCTCACGAGCCAAGTGCCAGCTCCTGACCCTCCATGATCAGGAACCCCCACTCCTGTCCTGCCACACTCAGCCCTCCAGCCGGCAGCACTGCCTCCTGCAGAGTGGATACCTGCTCCTCTCTGCTGCATCCTGCCCAGCCTCCTGAGCACTCAGGCAGATCCGGACTCCTCCTGAAGCCCCTCCTGCAGCTGTTAGACCCCTGGCTGCTCCAGGTTTCAGCTGAAACACCC